ATTTTAATAAGGATTTCAGGAGATTATAATCCATCAATAATTGATTACAATAGAATTTTTTTACTTTTTCAATAAGACAACTACTAAAATCATAATATAAACGATTATTATCTCTTGAAACTGGGTGCGGGTATCTTTGTATGCTCGAAAGATGGAAAAACTGCAATGTGAATTCTGCTCGAATTGAAGTCTTTTGTCGAGTGAAAGTAGGTTATAAACGGAGTTTGCAAACATTTTCGAAGTAATCTAGTACGGCTGGAAACGAACAGAAGTAAAATTTCATTTGGAAGAAGAAGTAGAGTTTTCTAGTAAATGTGGACAATATTGATAGCAACATTAAAGATAGATCCTGAGATAGTACTGCAAGCAGCAATTTTGCTGCAAAACTTACCGTTCACGTTTTGAACAAACTGAAAGAGTGATAATTTGGCTGGGGCTGTATAAACTAGCGTATATATTCATTTTTACTTTTTACCACAAAAAACTGGTTATAATTGTAAAAACAATTCTTTTGTTGTCTTTTAACATCCAAAGTTCTCATATATAATAACGAGACAGATAGTCGGAATAATTTGGTTAGTAATCTAGTATCGGGAAAACTGATTGGCTTGATACGTTATTGAACTTCTTTTCGAAAGATTCAAATTTTTATGCTCTTTTATCTTAAGTTACGATCCCAAATTTGGTTTTGTATGCACAAACGTATGCAAAAACGCGCGCAAAATTTTTGTGATTGAAAATCAAAAGCAACGAAAAAATATTTTTAGATTTGCTACTTCACACTCTAGACGGATCACTTTTAAGCAACTCTAAGTCGGGTGCTTAGAAGAACAGAGAAAACTATGGAAAGTTTTCGTAAAGCCATAATGTAAGTAGTCTGATTGCGGGATCTTTTACATAAGAATATTGAGGAGTAAACAGATTTCACAAAAGTTTTTAAGGCCGAATCAAGAAAATGCCGGAAATCGTGTCCCCTCTAAAATTACACTATCTGTATGTATTTCATCTCAAACAGAAAAAAAACTATTTTTATTTAGAAATGGAAAACTGCGCTTTTGTTCCTGAAAACTGCAAAACTAGAGTTGGAGCTTCATATACCGCTTTCTTGGTAAAAATTTGAGAAAATTTGGTAAGAAAATTGAGAAAAAAAATTCAGCAAACAAAGATTCTGTTTTTTTTTCATTGTTAGTCAGTTTTTGAACATAACTGATTTTTTTGTCTTATGTGCAATTCACTAACCTTGTGCGTGTTTGTATAATTGCGCATGGTATCATGCACAAAACCTCACTAAGTTAAAAAACAGATAAAAATATGAAAACAGAAAATCGTAAGAAACATTTCAAAATGATTATAATTTGCGCGTTTGTATGAAATGTAAGTTTCAGATTTAATACATGCTTGGGGTGGGGGGATATTCTGCAGTAGGTCTTTTAGGGGGGATATAATGGTCACTTTGGGGGGATATCGGTTGATCCGATATCACTGCAGTCATGCCTATTTATACACTTCAATGCCGATTTTTTTCTACAAATTTATCTTTTACTTAGTTTTTGACCAAAAATGATGTGAACTTTTCAACTTGTTGAATGTAACTTATGCTTAGGCTATCTGGTTCGTTTGTTCAATTTTGACTGAAAAGACTGTGAGCTAATGAACACCTTTCGGTGCTAATGTTCAAGATTGCAACACACTTTATATTGTAAATGAAACACAAAGTTTTTTTGTTCGACTTTCGATACGAAAGTAACAGAATATTTGTGCTCGGGGTGGGTTTTTCTCTTCAGACAAATTTTGACTTTTGAACTAGCCGTTTTTGATGGAATTTTGTATATCATTCAAAAAATATTGTTGTCTTGAGCTCAAATTTGAAAAGATATTTCACCCATGATCATTTTTCGTAAAGTTATGGGGGTTTAATTTTTGCCATTTTGGCCAATTTGGGACAATTAACGCGCGATATATTTCGCGCTATTAATGCGTAAGCAGAGAGTCTTTTGAAATAGTTCTAAATTGGTTGAAAGAAGCTTATTTGCCATAATTGATTTGTTACAAGGAGCGAAATCTATCCTTTTGTACTTTTCATAGGGATGATTTTCATAAAAAACTCCAAATTTAAGAAAAAATTTTTTTTCCTTTTTTTATTGCATTAAATTTTATAATGTTATCACTACTCCATAGACCTTAAAAGGCAGTCGGAACAATCAGGGCTTCGCACTGATACGAGCAGTCTTGTTTAGTTTTTGGGTTTAGTTACAGGGTTGTGTTTCATAATAATTGATTGAAACGCTTGAAAGATCTGCGCTAGATGAATGATTTTTGAGTCAGAACACGAAATAGATTGTGCGGAAAATTCAATATAAAATCGTTTAAAAAATGTGGCCAAGTTCACTAGGAAGTTGGACGTAAGAACCATAAAAACGACAGGTAGAAACATAAAAACGGCAAAAATCATTCAATCCGTTTAATCACTGTCACGGAGCGTCGGTTCAGCCACGCACAGCGAGATCGGATTATATACTTGCTAAAAAAGTAATGAAAATTATTTGAGCAAACAATTGTAGATCAAGCATAAAATCATGGTTTTCAGACTTTGCAGACTTCTGTTTAGACTTGGCAGACTTTGACCTGCGTGACGACTATAATTTTTTGGTCCCCACGCGGATTGATTCAGACTTATTAAGTCTGATTATAAAATCACGACCTCAACCCGGGCGGCTTTTCGCAAAGTTGATATGAGCATGCTCCTACCTTATTAACAGTTCGCCTAATTATAATTATATTATTCTGTCTTGCGCTTAAGACCGCACCTCTCTCCAGGATGAAGAGATAGAATAGAGTATATCATGACTAGTTTCAGCATAGAGGACTTTGTGTACTATTCGCACCATCAGAGGAGTGAACATGGACATCTACACCATATGGTGATGAATCCGATATTCCACCATCTCACAAGGACATTCCTGGAGGCAAGTCGCAAAAAAGGAAGCGAGACTAGCTCTTGTCACGAGTCTAGAGGAAATGGTTCTTGTCAGGCATAGCAGACAGATATCATATCCCCGGATTCGAGATTTTTCACCTAATTTGAAGCAAGATTTGAGCGGTTTGAGCAGTTTTTTGAGACAATTACGCTGAAAATCTTGCTTCAAAAAGAGCGGTTTAACTTGCTGCTTCCTTTTTTAGTGGAAAACATCATTTTCTGATCGCGAAGTAGTTTTTGGCAATTTTCAAATTGAATATACAAAAGCCAATTGTTTTCAAGAGCCTAGATTGTAAAAACTTTCCGAACAGAAATTAGATTAGAAATAAGTTTTTTTCCGATTAGAAGTAGCCTAGATTTAGAAAATTTCTGACCAGAAACTGGATCAGAAATAGAAAATTTTCAGAAAATCCATTATTCACAAATTTAAACACTTCACAAAGAATTCCTGACCAGAATTTGAGGAAGTTAACTATTTCTTGGCAGAATTAAAGAACAACTTAGGTACGGGCATTGAATTATTTCTCTGCTCTATACTTCTAGTTTCATTTCCTCCTTTACCTACCGAAGTCTCATAAAAAAATTGTTTGTGATCGATTTTCATCGAAAAAGTCGTGTAAATAAACGATTATCGTGGCAAATTTAGACCACCAAAGAGTTCATTTTTGTTTTCGATGTAATCGAATATTTTTGTTTGAAAAATCAATGACAATCAATTAAAGTTTGTAGATATGAACTGTCTTCTCTGCAAAACTCGAACCCGAACGTTGATCCTCATTGATTTTAAGACAAACTTGAAAATCAGTGACACAACACAATAGCTTATAAGGTTTAAAAGGAGTTCAAAAACAAATGGGTTGTAATCCACTAAATTTCAATTTAAAGAATGATTATTTTTCTTTCGAAAAATTAGTTGAAAATTATCAATCACAACTGGCTAAGAAAAGATTTTTGCTCTGAAGAATACTAACCTTACAATCCCTTTTAATCAATTGTGAGTTTAAGTTCGGGGTGGCCTTCTCATAGAGTAATTTCTGATAAGGTACACCGTCTGTTTGTCACTCTATCTTTTATCGGCCGGATAGATTCATGCAGCATCTTAGTCTAATACCATTTCTATTCTTGCTCTCATACCTTATATTTCCCAGTCTCAAAATATCTAGAGATATACTGGTTCATCGCGAGGTTAGAGGAGAGAAGAAAGCATCTGATTTCAACCTTTATTATTAATTCTCTAAACCATTGGGGTTTCAGGTTTACATATCTAGAGTAAGAATTTTTCATGGGTCATGATTGTTTAGTAATAAGTATTTTACAGAGAATTAAAATATAAAACATAGCCAATCGAAGATTGGAAAAGAATAATGAAAGCAAGTAAACATAGAAAAAAGACTGATTTCGTTAAATAATCTCAACTTTTGAGTTTCAAAGAAAAAAAATAGATGACCTTTAAGCTCTTTGAGTTTTTAGAACAATGATTGGCACTTTTTGATAACATCAACCCAACTTGAAAAGACTGGATCAACAGATAAAATTTTGATTCCGCTGGAAATCTAAAAATTCAATTCCACTATCGAAACTAAAAACCGTTCACGACCTTTTGCGCCATTTGCACGTTCGTGCCTGGAGAGTGATATATACGTCACTTTAAGCAGATGAATTTCAATTGAACTCAAAAAGTGCATATATACCAAATGCATCAATATTTTAAGACTTTTCCATTAAAAAAATCAGCAAGACCTTTAAGATTCTTCACGTTCATTACTCTTAAGAAAATAATTAGTTTCAAACTGGTTCCAATTCTTTCGATTTTTTTCCGATTTTTATGAAAAAATACAATAAAAGTTGATTAAAGTGTTGCCTATGACTTTCAATAAGGATTGATTGTCAATATAATCCTTAAGAGTATGAAGTTGGTCTCTTTACAATAAAGAAATAGGTTTACCACAAAATATGAATCATTCGTCTTACAATCTAATTAATCGAGAATTTTGACTCAATTTACCAATCAAGCTGCCTTTAACTCAAAATCTTCAGCTTTGTAATGTTATTAAATATTTAGGTGCAGAAAAAATTCTGCTGATAACTGAAAATAGTGAAATAATGCCTTTTTTTACTTGGTTTTTAATGGTTCTTACATGACAGAGATGCTTATACTAAAGACTAAAAGCGCTGATAGTTTTTTGAAGGTTATAAATCACAAGGAATTCCTTCGCGTGTCTTTATCACATCATATATTGATCCACATGAGAATTCTTTTCGCTGCAGAGCCCACCAAAAGCATACCACTCGCCATATGCATTATCGCAAACAACCTGAAACAAAACCAAACTTTATCTCTCACTAGAACCTAATATCGAAACAGGCAACAAGCGTTCATAGCAGTAGGAAAACCTATTATTTCTGTAGGGTAGCATAATAATTAACCATTTTTATTTTTCCAGGGTAATTCATGGTGAATAGCAATAAGGTACAGCAGACCAAGTGATCTTCGTCCCCCAAGAATTTTGAGGAGGATTTTTAGCCAATCAGAATCAACCAAATGCTGGGTTGAAATTTGGTCTATCTGGGCTGACAGCTTGATCGGTAATGTAATCAATCAGTGGTCAATTTTAAGGAAGCGAATTCACTATCAATTATTCAATATAGTTCAGCTATGAAACAGTCAAAGTTAATATCAAAAATTTATATACCCTGTTTTGCCACTTCTTTGATCTATTGTGGTTTCCTCGACTGAAGCAGAAGTTGAAGGCTCATTAGTAGTCGTGTCAGCTGGTCCGACTGTCACTGTTGTTGTCGTGCCGCCACTGCAAACAATACAAACGGTCTTGAAAAATTAAGAAACGTTTTTCAGTGCACACTATTATACAAAAATTGAGTTTTTTGTTCCCTTCATGCAATTAAAGGTTTTATGAAATAGTAGAAAGCCAAATTTTTTTTAAAAAATTTTACTCTGTTTTTGCAGGCTAACACGGGACCAAAATATGTTATTTATACTGCTCCCATCGTGACTAAAAGTGGGGTATTTCTCAATCATCGGACTAGAAGTTTATATATTGCGACTTTTCGCGACCCCAGAAAAATCTGCAACCCATACCCTCCTGAAACTCGATCCTCTCGTCTACCAAATGGTCCCAATATGACAAAATTTACGGACAAGCATTTGAGGTGGACTGAAACTTAAATTTTTCTAAATGCGCCTTTGCGACCAGTAAATACTAATTTTGAGGTGCTATCATGCGCCAAAATAACTTTCAAAAATTTCAACAGAAGATCAAGAACAAAATTTTTGGCCTTTTTCCAAACTTGGCGGGCAATTTTTCGTAAAATAGGGTCTTTATGGCGCTTTGGTAGAGGTCAAAGTTTTCAATTTTTTATTTTGAAAATCCATCTCTCGAGAAGTATTTAAACAAATTTAAATTTAAATTTGATGAACAGTCTCAAAGGGAATAGTTGTTTTTGTTAATGATAAATCTGCTTGTTTTTTAATCAAATTGTTTCAATTTTTTAATGAATTGTAATTGATTGAATTGCCTCAAGGCCCAGGCACAACAGCAAGAGCGTTTTAATAACTTCAAAAAAGTCTCCTATAATGTGATATTTTTGAATAATAGTCAAACTTTACCGGCATTTTTTGTGACCTAAATGGTATCTCTTTAACTGCTCCCCATTTTTGTAAAAGGGGAGGGGCTGTGCTGCTAGGTACAAAACTCTCATATGCTTAGCCAATGAAACAGTTCCTTATAGGGGTGGTAATTTGTTACTAGGCACCCGTACCATAAGGGGGAACGGTTAAAGAGATCCCTTAAATGGGCAAAAGAAGAATAATCACATCGCCATTTTTGTTACCGTTTGAACAGCGAGCATGCAAGAGTGATAAAACTAAACAACATTTTGAGTTCACAATCAAACCGCAACTTTCCTTTTGGAAAGGGTACCACACAGAGGGTACCCCTTTGGTTATATTATACAACATCCGTTTTTGGCGGACGCTTTTTCTCAGAGATTCGACCCCCTGCCGCACTTTTTTAAGATATCAACTTTTGTGTGACCGACTCTAAAACTGTTCTAAAGGCGCCTTTGGCACCAACATATACTTTAGTTTTTTGTCAACATTTTTTAAAAGTGTCTTACAACGCCATTTTTCAAAAATTTGCCTGCGGCGCAGATAATTTGGTCACAAAAGGTATTCATACTGATTTGGTAGAGGTCAGGAGAGAACTCGCCTGCAGCGCAGACTTTTTGGTCAAAAAAGGTAATTATACTGATTTGGTAAGGGTTGACAACATTTTCTACAATTTTTGGAAAAACCCCCCTTCCTGGTCAAAATACTCTAAAAAGAGCAAAAACGGCCAAAAGTGAAAAAATAAGTTTCTATTTTGTTTTCGGTTAGCTCTGATAAAAAATTTGCCAACCTACAAAATAGGTAGACATTTTTTTTGAAAAAACGGCGGTTTTTCGAAAAAAAATTTTAAGTGCCCCTGCCGTTTAAAAATTATTTGTGCATAAAGTTTGATTCTCAAATTATTTTCTAGCAATGTTTATTAAAAAATATAATAGGTTGAAAAAAAATAGTTTTTTTTTGTCAATTCAACCACAAACGATTTCATTTCCTGCACCCCATCCAAATAAATGTATATTACTGCTTTTTATTTCCTTATTTTTCGATGTTTATCGTATTTCTGGAGGGGTAATTATGGTTACCCGCATCTAGCCAGCACTTCTCCACTGGCAATCAGCTGATTGTAGTTTTCCTCGGCGAACATCGATGCGCCTTGCATGTTTCCAGCCGGTAGATAGTGACAAGTGACGATGGTGTGTCCATTGAAGTTACAAGCAGTAAAACCACAGCCAATCTCAGTGGTTTGTGCCCACATCATCTGAAATTATCACATTTGCCATTTACAATGATATACTGATTGCTCCATTTCCAGTTTGTTAGAATCATATGTTAGGTGAGGGAGGTAAAGGGGTGAGAGAGGGCGTAATATGACAACTTGCAACAAAAGGCAACTCGCAAAAATGAAACACCTTGCATTATTTAGCAAATACGACAACTCGCAAAACGCAATAACTAGCAATAAACTCGTAAAATAATCTTTTAATTACCCCAAAATTAAGACCCGTAATCCCCCATCAAAAAATCAGTTAAATTTATGCTTAATTCAAAGCGATTATTGGGGAAACATTTGAGTTTTTTTGGTCGTTCAACACCAAAACTTGAGTACAAAACCTTGATTGCATTATTTGATATATATCATCAATTCGGTTTCTAAATATGCTTCTTTTCGTTCAAATAATGTTGCAATTTACTACAAGTCAGCGCGGGAAACAAATCCTGATATTAACGTGAACTTAACCTTTTATTAGAGCTAACAGAAATTTAATTGAGTTCGAAAAGCAGCAACTTCTGCTTTCAAATCGAAATTTCTAACGTCCATAAGAAATTAATTTTTCTTTTTGCGCACGCCAATTGAAATAAGATGCAAGAATTAGGACTGGCGGTTGAAAACAGAAAAGACAAAGACTTAAGAAAGAAAGCGAAATCATTGTTTCCGCTGGCTCTCATTCCTGAATTCGACTTGAAGTTGGCAGTAGAAGCTCTCTAGGCAACAACAACTGAAAATGATCAGCTCCATTCATATCTCGATTATTTCAAAACACATCGGATGAGGGAATACGTACGTGGAATTGTACGAAAAGATTAAGATTTCAAATCAACTATATGGAACCAGTTCTGCAAAAATTAAATGGCAATCAAAAAACCAACAATTCGGTCGAAGGATGGCCTAAAGTTTTTCAAATAGGAATGGGTTATGCTTCACTCACACTGCATCAAAATTCTTTTTGCAAACAACGAGGGAGCAAAATTTAACGGATAAATGTCTGATACGGTTCAGATTTGGAGAAAAGCCCTATAAATGTGCCGAATATGAACAATTGCAACAAAGGATATCAGAAACTCTTACAAACCATCAAAACAATGATCTAAATTTGCAGCTGGAAGCTCTTTCATATAACTTTCTTCTGTAAAATCACTTTTTTGCAAAGAAATTTTGAAGTTTTACCGCTTTTTTGTTTCACATTCAGAACAAAAGGAAATCTAATTTTTTTCCGAGTTTTTAACGAGTTGTCTCTTTTTGCGAGTTGTCATTTTCTTAAGATTTTGCGAGTTGTCTTGTTTTGCGAGTCGTCTTTTGTTGCGAGTTGTCGCGGTACCGAGAGGGGGACAGGTCAGGGTGAGAGACAACTTGTGGGGGGAGCCGTCAGTGGAAGTAGATACTGCTATATTTGTTGTAAATTGTCAACTGCTATCAAACTATTATAGATTATTTGATATTTACAAACAAAACGTTGAAATTTTATGAAAGCGCCCATGACGTAAACAGCCTATAGGATTTCATGTAACCTAAGCTTGCATGTAAGATATGGCTGCGTCTGAGCTGAAGCTAACTTGACCAGCAAACCAGTTCCAGTTCCAGTTCCAGATAGATTGAATTTTCTCCAAAAAAATGGTTTTGCAGCAATGACAAAAAAGAAACCAGAAGGGAGAACTGGTTCCTCCAAATTTGGATTGTATGTTTACAAAATAAGCAACTATTATATTGTCACCTGGGAGAAGTGTCCGACTTTAGTCCAGTCGACGCAGAAGTCCCACTTGCTGACGGGGTCAGTGAGAAGGGGGTACTTGTATTTGCTTATCTCACTGTACCACGCAGTGGAAGCAGTAGTGCCCAGCTCATCATCCGTTATACCTGTCGCACTGGTCTTGTAGAGATTTTCACCTGCAATTTTTTCATTGATGATAAAAACGTTAAGAAATTATTTTTCTTAATAATGATGTAACAAAAAACCAATACTTTTCCTGCTCCCACTTCTTCGTTTTCAATGGAAAAAATGATAAGTGGAAATAATTTGTAACGAATTATAAATTGAATTTTTAATGAATTTTGTTGCTATAAGGCTCGATAAGGCTCGATATAAAGCAGTAAAATAGTTGAACAAAATTTAATCATTTTTTTCTCGTCAACTGTGGTATCAAAAGTTTTTAGAAAACTTTACAGCCTTTTTTAAATGTTTTTGGCAACAAAAGACTTTGAAATACATTTGAACTTTGTTTTTCAAACAACAATCACAATTTTTGGTGGATGCATTAGCAAACAGGTGAAATATATCGTTGGTGAAAAAAAGTCATGTTGATGTCAACAAAAATGGGACACCTCATTTCTAATACATAGCGAATCAACTTTCTGGCATTAAAGTTATCGGTTTTTTTAAATACTCTAATGGTGTTTTTTTTTACAGATTTCACCAGTATTGTGAATTTACTCATAAGCTATCATTAGACTGATTTTCAGCTTGGAGTGGTTGTCTCCCTCAGATTTCGGAAAAAAATCAGGCTCAGCCCAAACAGATTTTTTATATCGTCTATACTTTTAATTATAACAAGATTTATCACTTGCGACCTTCTCGAAAGATAATATGGGTTTGAAAAGCACCAATGTGGCCAACTTCAGATAATTAAATGAGCGCAAAGTTTACAAATTTTTAGCTCATAGGCATAGATAGCGATTTTATTCGGCTCAGAGGTCTTCCTAAATAGTTTTGAGTCAAATTAATTGGCCCAAAAATGAATTAATGGATGCAATTTTATCATTTTGTACTTGAATTTTTATGTATTATAAGACATTTATGAAAACTGAAAAAATGAAATTATCAAACTTTTTCAAACATGTATCTTTTTTTTTGGTTTATTTTCAAAGCTTAAAGGTTGGATGATTATTTATGGTACTTGTTTTGTTGTGCAAAACAAAAAGAGAAGTAAACAAAAAAAATAAAGCACACACGAATACAAAAACTCCTCTACATTTTTCGAATGGTCGGAAAAAAAGCATATGGAAAGCCAAACCAGTTTTTTTTTCAAAAGAAAATTTATTTGATTTTCTAGTTGTTTTTTTCCGACCATTAAAAATGGGGAGGAACTTTGTGTACGGGTTTGTTTTAGTTTTTTTTGTCCACGGAAAATCAAGTACCCAACTAGTCTGACCAAGTCTTTTTTTTTACTTTGCAACATTTTTGTCCTAATAATATATAACAAACGTTAAACAGCAGTTTATATTCAAAATTTTGCCCTGAAGTTGTTTTCTTTTATTTGCTAGAAATGGAAATCGCTCAATTGAATTTTGATATAAGGGCTAAAAACTCAAAACAAACAAGGATAGCCGGTTACTGTACAACACACAGAATGTTCCGACCATAGTCGTACCAAAAAGAAACAAACCTGTTTTTCTTTCAGATTAGTGTTGTTTTTTTCTTCTGCGTGATGCGATAAAACGAATTAACAAAAAATTACAAATTCGACATAATCGAGAGTTATGGTAAGCCAAGCAAATTGGACAACATATTTTAGAGAAAAATTAGTAGAAAAAAAATATCAAAGAATTTTTTTTGCAGGAACTCTTTGAGTTTTTGAAGTTTTTGTTTCTCATAAACTAAAAAAACTCCACCAACCAATTATACTCGAGTAAAACAAAAACTCAGCATAAATAAGCTGTTGTAAACGGCCTAAAATAAGCAAAAATAAGCATGGTCGGTCGCTTTAGTTGCTCGAAACTAGACAAAAAATTAAAAATTTTGAAACGGTTTTTCTCGACACTGGATTTAAAAAGTTTAATGTCGTTCAGACTATGACTGGAAAGAACTTTTTATGATCCATTTGGATGATTATTTATGGTACTTGTTTTGTTGTGCAAAAGAAAAAGAGAAAAAAACAAAAAAAAAAGCACACACGAATACAAAAACTCCTCTACATTTTTCGAATGGTCGGAAAAAAAGCATATGGAAAGCCAAACCAGTTTTTTTACAAAAGAAAATTTATTTGATTTTCTAGTTGTTTTTTTCCGACCATTAAAAATGGGGAGGAACTTTGTGTACGGGTTTGTTTTAGTTTTTTTTGTCCACGGAAAATCAAGTACCACAAATAATCATCGGACTGGGTTGTGATATAGCATATCAAAGCCCTTACAGTCGTTATTTGAACATTATTAAACAATTTTTAAAATTTTTTTCCAAAGCCGAGAAAACCGTTTTGAAACTTTTGATTTTTCGTCTTATTTGAAGCGAACAAAGCGAGCAAGCAGTTTTTTTTCTATTGATTTGTTGCTTAAAGATTACAATAGCTTAATTTAAAACGTAAAAACTTAGTTTTACTTGGGAAAGTCTAAAACACTTAAAAAATCTAAAACACTTAAAAACTTGAAAAAAAAATCGATATAATTTTCAGCTTGTTTATGTTAGTATGGCTGTCGAATGAAACTAATCCACAGTCTTTTATTCGGCTCCTTTGAAACCTTCACGAATAAAGTAGTTCTGGAAAATGAAACAAAAATCTGAACTGGCCTCTTTTGAACTCAAACTTACACTGTTGTCATTTTGGCCATGCGCTTTACCATTTCACTGGAAGTTGCTGGTATAGAGACACTTGATGGAAGCCAAGAAAAGAGTGGAAAGCGTAGCTGTCTTTATGAAAAGTCATTGAAGTGATCAAATAGACAAAAGGGCGAAAAATGAAATTGAAAAAATTATACTGAGCAGTCTCAAGTTTATTTTGATTAATCATTTAAGCGATATCATTTAACCGCAAATATGTAAGATTTTTAGCTTGGGAGATATTATTTTTTCATTTCAAATCAAATCGAAAAATAATTGGTCGAATTATTCAGAGTTTTGCCGTGCTGGAGATATATTTTGACCGTGCTAGACACAATTGTGTCCTATTTTGACCGTTCTCGAGACATGTTTTGACCGAGCTCGACCAGGTTTGGCTTATTTCGACTACGTTCGAAGTATATTTCTCTTGACCCAAAAAGTTTATGCTTGACCCAAAAATATGTCTCGACTATTCTTTTTCGTTCGAGCAGAGACAATTTTCTCGTTTTTTAAAGTTGAATTATAAAGTGATCACTATGATCCGCGTTGCGTTATCTTCTCTCAAAAGTCGGGAGTTTGAAAAACCTCAGTCTTCGTACCTTGTCCCTGATCTCGGAAGGCGGATGTCGAATGAGCGAAGCCACAGCTATCTGCGGGCTGCGCTAGGTTGTCGGTGTGCTCTTGGGCCTTCGCTGCTGGAATGTCAGAAACTCTATCTCAGAAAAATAATAATTACTATCCAAGTTACTATCTACCAAAAATTGTTTTTTTTTATGGAACTAACTAGACAAAGTATCAAAGAGGATGAAATAATGTGTTTTTGAGAACAAGTGAAAATGAAAGACTGCTTAGATAATGCAAATCTTACCAAGACCGGCGTTCCATTGCAACAAGGTCAACCCTGCATTTCCGCGATGCAGATTGTGTTTGGCCAGAACAGCACTTTGGAAAGTTCCCTCGGCGGATCTAAGCAAACTTTCATGGGGGCAACCGGTCATAGCTACTGGCCTTTCAGACAAACTGAATACTAATGCCAATTAACCAAATATGAAGAACTGAGCGGAGAAAGCGGACGCAAATTGAAAATTTGCGTCCGCCAATGTGAACATAATTGAAAATGCCGCGTTTTAAAATAAAGTCTTTTTCAGTTATCGTCGGAAATTACTTAACAGGAAATTTAGCTAAAAAGTGTATTTTTGGCCAAATTGTTTGATTTTCAAATTGGTCGAATTGCCTGCGAGCCGGCGAATTATGATTAAATTGAGTCAAGCAGCAGATACATTTGAGAAAATCTTAATGCGGAACAAATCAAAATTGCTCGTATCAGGATAGCCCTGACATTTGGACAGCCGTTTAAGGTGTGTGTTAATTTTTTTTTGTGATAAAACTGTATAAAAAACTTATATTACTCTCGTCATGCAATATCACGTACGAAGTGATCTATTGGTAAACTGCATATTGAACCAGGAGCGTATCAAAGATTTCCTCGAGGGGGCGGATTTTCAAAAAATGTTCGTCGATTTTTTGTCGATTTTTTCTTAGTTCGACCAAATTGAACTCCCGAGCAGTTCCAGAACACTAAAACAACCCTATTTTGGAAAAATTTTTCTACGCCGCAGGCAAATTTTTTCAGAAAAAAACAACATGTCAAAGTTTTCAATTTTTGGGCATTTTTGGAAAAATTTGACTTCAATTTTTTGACAAAATTGCGTTTTTTTTGTCGCGCGCTCTCCTTCAAAATTAGTATAGATTGGCGGTGAATGAACATCAGAGGTGAATGTTCATATTAACTTTGACGTCAAGGCATCAATATTTTTCAGAATGTAGAAAACTCTTGATCGAGAACCTCTGATAAATTTGAGTTAGGAGGTAGAAATTGGCTGAAAATTCGATCTCAGAAGCACATACTTTATAAAGTTGCCAGCAGAGCTGTAAATTACATTTCTCGCACCCACTGATCTTCCACTTGTTTCCCATCACCAAAAGTAAGCAAAGTGCCGAAAAAGTAGAGTGCTGATTACACTCACCTGAGAATCAGAAGCCAAATAGTAAACAAATGGATATAGCCGTTTTCTTTTCCCATCTAGCTTTTGAAAAAAAGAATTACTTAATTTTAAGAAATAATTAATTTTTTCAGATATTATATTTATTTAGATTCTATCAAAAAACAAATTTCTAGAACTCTCAATTAGTTGAACTTTTCTTTGAATGGTCAGAAAAATCATATTATTAGCTACAAATGTGAAATTTCTGTCAAAACGGAGTCATTCAACACAGTTGTAACTTGTTCTTCTATCAGCTGTGCACGTCAGATGTCAGCTCAAAAAATGGCCTGCGGCTCAGTGGATCTAAGATGAATGATTACTGCACTCATGTTGACTATATGCTCAGCTGAAGAGACACTTTATACAAGACCCCATACCTGGACAGATAATTAATTAGCCAATTTAAAAAACTTTGTTGACGTTTGTTGACTGTCAAAAGTCAAAACCAATGCTTAATTTGCAATGACGCACAAAAACGTTGGACATGAATGAAATCTCGTAAAATGATATAAGTAAGACTTCCAATCTTTTATCTCACCATTGTGATTACCAGACTGCTCAAATTGAGGAAATGTTTGATTTTTGACATACTTATTTATAGAATGTTTTGATTTACTTTTTCATGCCCAAAGTAGATTCTTCATCCGGATAAAAAAATTAGATTCTAGAAAAGAACTTGTGATAAAAATAGTTGTCATTTTTTCTGCGGTATCAAAAAAAACTTGAGCAAAAACATATAATCGAGCAGTTTCGACATTCATCATCAATTGGCCAATTGGAAAACATTTTTGTAAAAAATTACTAAAAAAAAACAAAAAAAAAATCGTGCAAAAATTGGGTATGTTTAAAGCAACCCCTGTTTCTGTCTGAACAGACCAGATTGGGCTGACTGCGTTCTACAGTCAGTTTGAGAGTTTAAGAAGCTCATTGTTAACATCCCAACGACAAAGGCTTTTTCTGAAGTTGCCGCACGAGGGTGACACACAAGGCATGCTATGCCCTGTGCTAAATGATGTAATTTACAGTGCACTATGACCGAAAGATGGTTTGGACTCGTGAGGTGGGTGTTTAAGCAATTGCCACCCTTTTGAGAGTCAAATCCTGGTGTTTCAGACCCCCTCAGTAAAGGTTTGGAAGGTTATACTGTAATGCAATTGATTGCTTTGTTCCACTAGGCTGAGAACAACATATGCACAGTTTTACTCAAGGCGGTATTCTAGTTCATAGTCTCCGCGGCATGCATCATCAGGTAAACTTTGATTTTCGATAAAAAAAGAAGAGCAAGCTCATGGACATGTACAACAAATATTTTTAACAAATAGCAATTAAAATTTCATTAGTTTAATTATTGGTATGTTTATGATAATAAGCGCGACAGAAAGTTTTCAGCTTGCTGAAGGAGCAAGTAATTCAATCGATTTAACAACTCAATCTACATGGTTAAAAGTTGGCGACGCTTATATGATTAACTAGCTTGTAGACTAGCAGAAAATGAAAAATTTCAAATCTATAATTATTTATTTTTTGAAGACTAAAACAGTGAATGTTCAATAAAACTTTTTCTCCGTGGGTTTTTGTAGTATTAAACAACTAACAAAGAGATTAAATAGTGCAAACAGAAATGGCGTATGAAAAAACTCGTCAATAGGTTTGCTGGGGCGACTAAAAATTTTGAGATTATACATATGTTGAAACGCAGCACATCAAAGAATTTTTAGTATTTTAAAGCTTAGTGTTTTTATCAAATGATAACAATGTGACAATGTTGCTAACAACAATGTCATTATATTTTCAGTACCTTTAAATCATTGCAACCAATCAAGCTAACAAAAAACTTTAAAATTTCGAAACTGCATAACAGTTTATTTTGTCTTGATTTCTTAACCAAAAATCAGCAGTTTTTGATGCCTACACACACTTATTTTTGATAGGTTTTGCAAATTTTAAAAAAAGTGACAACTCAAAAAGTTTGATCATATTCAATAATTTTGGGATTTTAGTTTTGAGATTGTCGATGAGCACGCTATGCGCGCGTTGCCGCTTTGCGACAAAAAGGCTCTGAGTTTCGTGTAATGTCATGTCCTGTCGGAAAGCTCCCAACACGTTGGCGCGTCTTCGGAGTTGAGAATATAGCGAGTTGTCTTTGAGTGCAAACTTGTCTTTTATTGCTGGTTCTCTTATGTTGCGAGTTGTCCCATTACTTTATTACTTTATATAAGCCGGGTCTTTCCGTGAATTTATTTTTGCGAGAAATTGAAATAAAAGACTGAAAACGAAAAAATAAACTAACCCGCATATAAGCGAAGTGGAAAATCGATTATAGTGAATTCAATATCAAGTGTGCAAAATTAATATAATCATCCTCAAATAATGAAACGATCATAAATCGATTTTACTCTATTAATTAGTCATTTATTTTCAATAGTTTACTATGGCATTTAAATTAGGGTTATAATTGAAAACTATATAGAGTAAATAGAGTATTGCAAAGTATCAGAAACTGTCCAACCTTGTTCAAGATATGACCAATAGAAATAACTAAAATTCAAAGATCCAGATAGTATTTGCACTAATCAAATGTCTGAGATAATTGGAGATGTTTTTTTTTTGGCGAAAAGCCCAAATAGAGACCCTACCAATAAGCATGATATGGTTTGTAGAATAAGCTTCATTCACATATTTTGGCCAGCAACTGTTTCTAAAATTAGTAAGACATAAACATTTTTACGTATGAAAAAAAAGCAATTTTAGGGTTTGACTTTCTTCGCCTTTTAAAAGTTTTTTCTTTTGGGATTTATAAGTTTTTGGGACATCAAAACCAATTGTCTCTGACATCAAGCCAAATAGAATGACTTTGAAAACTTTGAGAATGCGAAATTGAGGAAACAAAACAATCTTTAAAAACTTAAAACACTTATTTTCTTTGTCTCTAAACCAATCAGGTAGTGAGGTTTGAAATAAGATTTTACTCAGAATTTAATTCTATCAAGATAAGTCAAAAATGGGAGAATTTTTTTAAAAAGCGTTCATTTGCTCGGTTTCCCGGGAAAGATACCTTGCAAGATCCAGGCCTGGCTTTCAAAATTCGTTCTGGCTTTATTTTTTCATAGCCTCAATTATGAGTTAGGTTAGTTTACGATGCGAACTGTATGTTTAAAATTTTTTAGTCTAATTAAAATGTTTTAGGCAAGTTTAAAATGTTTTAGACTAGCAAAGACCCTAGATGGCTGCTGTCAGAAATTACAAAATCTGCATGGAAAGTTCTTTAGGTTCCCGTCACAAAATCAAAAACTTTTCCATGGCTATGTAACGCTGTAATCAGCATGGAAAGCAACCAAACCAGAATCCAAAGCCTTTTTTTATGCGCACTCAGGTCAGCAACTGTTTCACCCGCACCGAGCGCCTATGGATCATAATCGATTATATTGTCATAGTATGGTCAGCATCTATAAAATGACAAAATAATCGATTATAATCTATTAAAAATGGATTATAATCCTAATAATTTTTATCCCAATAAAATCCATTATAATCGATTGTAATCGATTATAACGGATTTTTTTGAGGGGTTATTCATGAAATTTACAATTTTGTTCGAAACTATTTTATTTCCTGTTTAGTGTAGTTGCTACGTGTTATGTTTCATAAAATGTTACATTTCAGAAAAAAATGTATATATTTTTTTGTCTCTACTTTTTCTAATTCATCGCAGTTTAACACTTCATTTTACTGTTTTTTTTTAACCACAATCCCCCTCCCCTTCCCCCACCCCCAGTTTACCAACCCCCCTCCCCCTCCCCCAGTTCCACAAAGCTTGAGGGGGCGAGGGGACGAAGTTGAGACATGGCATTTAGTAAAAGACAGGGCATAAATTCTGCAAACTTCTCGCAAAATTTGCAAAATTTTGCATAAATAATCGAATTTAGTTCTAAAATGAAAGGGATTATAATCAATTATAATGGATTATAATGGATTTTCTTTTCAAAATAATCAATTTTAATGGATTATCTTGGCAAAAATAATCGATTTCAGTGACAAAAATAATAGATTATAATCGATTATAATGGATTATAATGGATTATTTTTGTTCAAAAATAATCGATTATAATGGCAATATAATCGAGTTCGTGGTCTGAATTTTACATCCGTAATGGGTTATAATCTATTATTTTTGTCTCGGGAATCCATTATAATCGATTGTAATCCATGGGCGCTCGGTGCGGGCAACCAACAATTTCTTCCTTCTATAATTGTATGTGGAGAGTGTATGACGACTGTTGATATATTTACGAAACTCTGAAAGATAAATAGTACTAAATTTGTCATTTACCATTCCAAGGACCAAGTTAAGTGCTTGTTCAGCTTAATCAGTGTCGGTACACTTTTTCGCAGGTGTTCCAATCGGTTCTTTACAGGTTCATGATCAGATTGGGGATTTGGGAAAAAGATTATGCGTAAAATTCAGGATAAAATTCAAGGGTGCTGGGTGAAATAGATGATTTAAGGTGGATCAGAAGAAAAACTGAAAGCATTGAAAAAAACTCGAAAAAAACTCGAAAAAAATAATGCGTTTTCTTATTCATCTCTCAATTATTATGTTTAAATTACTAGTTTTAGTTTTATTTGTTTCTTTGCTGGCTAGCAATAGGCAAACAGCTTCATGATCAGATTGGGGATTTGGTGAAAAGATTATGCGTAAATTTCAGGATAAAATTCAAGGGTGCTGGGTGAACTAGATAATTCAAAGTGGGTCCGAAGAAAAGCTGAAAAAATTGAAAAAAAACTCCAAAAAAGTACTGCATTTTTTTTTACTCATCTCTCAGTTATTATGTTTAGATTACTAATTTTAGTTTTATTTGTTTCTTTGCTAGCTAGCAATAGGCAAACCAGTCAACTCCATTGCTTGAAGTATTATTCGCCTCCACACTTTTCACTAAAATTAATAGCTATGATGAACTGATGTGAACTGATTTTTGTAAAGTTGGATGGCTTCATCATATTTCATTCTTCCTTTCTCTTCCTATTTTATTTTCTTTTTCTTTCTTCCTACGTCAACTTCTCTCTTTCTTTCTTTCTTTCTTTCTTTCTTTCTTTCTTTCTTTTATCTTTCTCAATCAGTGCTGGTACCTTTTTTCGCAGGTGTCGCATCCGGTTCTTTACAGGTTCATGATCAGATTGGGGATTTGGGAAAAAGATTATGCGTAAAATTCAGGATAAAATTCAAGGGTGCTGGGTGAAATAGATGATTTAA